TCAGCACCGGAGGCTGTTTACTGGCATGTTTTTATCAGGGAGACGTTCAGAAATGTTCAGAGCGGCCCGACCCCACCCACGCCTTCACAGCTGCACATACGATGTGGTCACTACCCCTACAGGGCTGTAGCTGCAAGTGCAGGCAGAAAATGAAGGCTTGGAAACATGCATGTGCCGCCAAAAAATGTACAATCATGTCACAGACTGGTTCTCCCTCTCCCTCCCTCCTTGCCTCACCCCCTCCCTCTCTTTCTCTCTCTCTCTCTCTCACGCTCACGCACACACACATACACACACGCAGGCCTGGGTGTAGTTCTATGGAAATGACACTTGTATTACAGTAGAATCAGAGGCCCAGGAAGGCGACCAGCTGCATCATGTATTGATCAGCAGAGCGATGGAGATGCTGATGCTGATGGTGGTGATGATGATGATGATGATGAGGGTGAGGAAGATGATGATGATGATGATGACGGAGAAGGCCCCGTTTCTCCACACCTTCTTCCACAACGCACAAATACATGTGAAGCAGACAGATGGATTCTTTCAGATGCAGATGATGTGATGGCTGAAGAGACTCATCTTCATCATCATCTTCATCATCATCATCACCATCCAGCCATCTTACACTCAGCAGGCTGGACTGCGCCGCCCCACAGCCTTTGATAATGGGTGGCTACCTGTTAATTCTGCCGATGCTTATTTGTCTGCGCGTGAGATGCAAGAAAACAGAAAAACAGAGAGAAAAAAAAAATAATCGAAAGCGAAAGCGATGGCTCCAAAATTAGAATCCAGTCCAGGATCAGGTTTTAATCATGTGTCTTTCTGGCCTCATTGAAGAAGAAGAAGAACAGAGAGAGAGAGAGAGAGAGAGAGCCGAGCTGAAGACCACACAGATCCTCCTCGATCTCCTCACGATCAGACGATCAGCTTTCCAAAAAAAATCCTTTTAGAAAACAGACGAACGGCGCAGGGACGCGCACGTCTCCATGTCTCTGCTCTGTCGGCGGGTCTCCTCGGTGAGAGGGGGGAGAATAGAAAAAGATGAATCTGCAGCTTCTCCCTTTCCGAAAACCTCGGCCTGTTTTTTCTTTTCTTTCTTCTTCTATTATCGGTCTTCTGTCCACACGTCAGCTGAAGGACAACATGTCCACAGACGCCACCGTCCACAGCTCTGTCTCCTCACGATTGTCCATTAAACATTCTTCTCATTTTTTTTTAACTTCGACTCCGCTTTTCGTGACGCGATCCTCGCTTCCTTCCTCTCTTCTGTCTCCTCCTCCTCCTCCTCTCCTCCTTCTCCTCCTTCCTCATCAGTGCTGCCACCTCCGACTCACCAGTTTAAAATCCAGAGAAGAATTCGTCTCAAAGACATTTTTTTTAAAACATGTTTTTTCTTCTTCTTCTTTGTTTGATTTTTGGAAGAAAAAAAAAAAAAAAACACGCGCACATATGAACTGATAAATACTGTTTACTGGATTTTAAAGCTAACGAAATCACGTGACAGCTGGTCACGTAAGCCATTTAAATCTGACTCTTACATATGTTATTAATTACACCCGTCCTTAAATGCATCATCTTTGTGTATTTAGGAAGTATCTGTTTTTAATTAGTCATTTTATTAGAATTGAATATAATCTTCTAAACTGGGTCATATATTTTAATTGAAAACAAATGTTAACTTGTGTTATTTATTGGGTTGTTCACTGAGATAATACACAATAATGTGTTTCTTTGACATCTGGCCTTTCTGTCTGAAACCACCTACATTTAATACTCAGATTATAACTGACGTTAATTCACTAATTTTCTACATATCTTTCCCTGATCTGTTGTAGAGAAATGGTTACACTCTATTGTTTAGAATTTATTTTAAAAACTAAATTATCAACAACATTGGTTGTTATGTAATACGTTTAAAAAATTTTAACATAAACTTTTATTTTACAGGATCAAATTGAATCGACCAACGGCAGAAACAAACCAGGAAGAACAACAGGAACGACGTACGTAGGTACTGCAGATGTATTCATATTTACAGACTCTGTACAAACACTTGGAATTGATACATAATTCCTATGAAAACAGTGACCTCTGGCGGTAATCAAATGCCATTGCAGGCACTAGAGCTTTAACACAAGTTTGTACGTATGTTTGTTACATGTTTCTGTTCGTACACATCATAAATGTTGTACTGCTGTTGTTTGCGCAGATTTTTGTTTTGTTTTTTCATGAATCAAAGTTAATTTTCTATGAATAGAAGCAGGTTGGATTAGTCAGTAAACGCATGGGCGGGGTTTACTTTTATTTTTTTAAACGCTACCTGATTTTCCCTCCTCCCTCTTAGAGTCACATGGCCGTTCTCTGCGCTCCCGTGACTCTTTCGAACAAATAACAGGGAGACGAGGCGTGCCATGACTGCTTGCGTTTGTATTGGCCCCAAAGAGTGTCATCATCAGAAACAACACCATCATCATCGTCCACAGCAGGCGAGGGCGGCAGGTCTGTCTTCAGCCCTGTTCCCTTTTACTGCTTCCTCCACAGCCGCTGTGAAACAGGACTTCCTCCTCCGGCCGCTCACAGCGGCTCGTTGACGCTCAGACACGCCGAAGGTGGAAGTTCAGAAACTGGTGAAGTGAAGCAGGAACCTGTGGAACCACTGGTAAGTTTCATTTGCCCTTGTTTTTCCGGTGTTATTAAAAAGAAACACATCGCCGGCTGCGTTCACAGTAAACATCCCCGCGCTCAATCTTGGGTGCGTTTCAAAATGACCCCCGCGCCGCCCGGTTGCATGTTTGCGAACCTCAAAGCCGGCGCAAACAAAACGTGCGTTAAATGAGAATGTGGTTTTAGACTACGAGGACGTTTATAGTTCTGGTCAATAACTTGCGTCACCCACTGGAAGGTTTCCATCTGTGTTTTGGCTTCACATCCCGGGGGTTCGGGACACACCGTAGAGCGTATGTAAAACATTTGACGTAACCTAAGTGAAATCCACCAAATAGACCTCTCGTCCCCCTCAAAACATTGACCGACTTCCGGTGGGCTGAATTGTTTGCTTGAGTTAATGCTAAGCTCCAATGTCTTCAACACAGGGTCCGCGACCGCTAGGAAGACCGTGAAACAATTGCATTTTTTTATGGGCTGGCACAATAAAACGACGTCATCACTCCATTTGAATCCCTTTACTGTCGTTTAAGAAAGGGAGCCGTGAGTATTGTATATACGCATACTGAATACTCCTTATAGTTCTAGAAAAATGTGAAATACTGTCTACTTTTTTTTCTTTTCTTGTCAAACTGATTCAGCACAAAAACTGCTGACATTTGTGCCTCCCTCCCTCCTCAAAAACTCTTCACTGACATGAACTTCAAATGTACCTTTTGAATTCATCTCAAATGTCGTCAAGTGTTGAGAGGAAAACTAGTGAAATCTCCATGAAGTGAAGAGAAGTGAAGCTCCTTCTCTGTTGGTTTATGCTGCCTCCGTTCATATATTTATTATATTTCTTCTTCTGACGTTTGACGTGTTTGAATTCCCTGTGACATGATGCAGTAAAAAAACTTGTCATCACATACACTTGAGTCACGTCTTGTAAAAATGTCAACTACACAAAAATGTTAGTGGCCTTTAAAGGCACGGTAAGCCAGATTTATGTTTCCTTTTTTTTTCTGGCCTTTGGCTAAATGTTACTGTAAAACAGAACCCAAAACCAAACAACCTGTTCACGGGTGTGACTGTAGTCTCCTGAGAGTTGCGTCTTCCTGTCGTGTTCAGTCATGTGTCAGGCTTGTTGCCAGGTTGAGGTCAGCTGTCACGTCGTTCTCAAATCAGATACATTTTTGTGTAGGCAGTTTAAAAAAAAAATCTGTTTGGAGGACGGTGTCAGGTCGTGGTGGTCGTTGACAAACTGATGCTACACAGCTGGAGAAAAAAAAAAAAAGCGGACAAGTCTCTGTGAATCATCTGACTGAATACCAGCGTGAGGTGTGAGCGCGGAGGTTGTTTTTTTCACCAGGTCATAAACAAACAGTCACCCGGTGGCGCTCACATGTTTGAACTCTGCTGTGGTGTAACTGCAGGAGAAGGACGTTAGATAGAAGACAGATGTGTGGTCAGATGACCCATCTCATGGGCGTTAGGGATGGGAGATGTTTGGTCGATTTTACTGATTCCAGTTCTGTTCTGGATTCTCTCTGGGTTTGGACTCAAAATATAACATACACGAACCAATGGGTTTGTTTGTTTTATTCTATTTTCTCTTATTGCTTTGAAATGTTTTCAGTTTGTTCCTCACTCTTTAACTGACCATAAAACGTGTCTGGAGATGAAGACGTTGATAAGGTTAAAGAGCGCTGGTCCTCAGATTATCATGGAACGACTCGTGTTTCCCTGTGATGTCTGCTCCATGCATTTGTTTTTTTACGGCTTTTTGACATTTGAAAGCTGCAGTTCTTTAGGTCTTTGACCTCTAGAAGTGGAGTCAAGAGAACGTTAGTGGTGGAAGTCAGACACATACAGTAAATGAGTAAAGTGTCTCAGTCAGATTATACTGTGTTTATAATCTGATTAGAAACCCTTCGTTGTCTGGTTTCCTGTTTACAGATTTCCTTGTCACTTGTTTTTCATCTGTGAAGATCAACAGTCCAGTTCAGGGCACTTTTAAAGTTTAAAAAACAAATGTCTGACACAGTCAGTTATTAAAAAATGAATTGAGTTACAACGAGGACCTTTATTTTGAAAACCTCGTGTTGTTCTTTTCCAGGTGACAGATCGGCAGCCATGTCGAATGAACACACCCCACTGATCACCTCAGGGATGTGCGGCCTGACGGTGAACGCGGTCACGTGTGGCGGTTCGTCTCCGGACGTCACCCCTGACTCTGGACCTGAGCCTCCAAATAAAAGCCCCCGACAACTGAACACCTTTTTTGGAGTGATGGTTCCGACCGTGCTCTCCATGTTCAGCATCGTGTTGTTTTTGAGAACAGGTGAGAAAGAAAGAAAAAAAAAAAAAAAACAACTTTTGTCTGTGTCTGTGTCGGACGCTCACACTGCCCCTGGTGGTCTCTCTGTGCAGGGTTCGTGGTGGGTCATGCCGGACTCCTTCAGGGTCTTTTAATGGTCTTCGTGGCCTACTTCATTATATCTCTAACTATTCTCTCCATCTGTGCCATCTCCACCAACGGTGCTGTTCAAGGCGGCGGAGCCTACTGTATCCTGCCCCCTGCTGTCTGTAGTAGAACCGGACATGTCCTCAGTTAAAAAAAACGTTAAAAATCATCTTTAACAGCAGGCGTTCAGACATGATCAGTCGATCTCTGGGCCCCGAGTTTGGAGGAAGCATCGGTCTGATGTTCTTCTTCGCCAAAGTCTTTGCCTGTGGGGAGTACGTTCTGGGTCTGGTGGAGGCCATGCTTGATGTGTTTGGTTCAGACCCCGGTAAGGACCGACGTCCATTTCACCAAACTGTCCTCAGTACCACCAGTTTCTGAGGAGGATCTGTATCATTGAAAATAATTATTAAAAATTAGCAAATAAAATCACAAACCCTAGAAAATAGTATTTCATATAAAAGAAAATTATATGTTATATAAATAAATATTTTATCATATTTATTAGGCGGTTAATCAAGGCTTAAGTTAGCCAGGATTTAAGAAAAAGTCTTAATTAAATTAAATTAAATAGCTCTAATTTAGTAAAGAAAATAGGACAATTTTGTATAAAATTGTTGACAGATAACATAAAAATCTATACTAGATTTGGTAAAAAAAATTGATGATAAAAGCCAGATTATAGTTGCAACAGATTTCTCTGCTTCCTCCACTGCTCTCTCTCTCTATCTCTATCTCTCTCTCTCAGAATTGTCCGTGTCCCAGGGGGTGAGGGTCCTCCCCCAGGGGTACTGGTACACAGTCCTTTACTCCTCCGTGGTTCTCCTCCTGTGTCTGCTGGTGTGTCTGGTGGGCGCTCACATCTACTCCCGCACCGCCTTCGTCATCCTGCTGGTGGTCACCGTCTCCCTGCTGTCCGTCTTCATCAGCTCCGTCGCCGTCAAACCATTCAACATTGTCCTCACTCACCCCGGGCCGGACAACCAGACGCTGCGCTTCAACACCAGCTACACAGGCTTCAGCGCTGCCACCCTGAGGAGCAACCTGGGCCGTGAGTGTTGATGCCGGTGCAGATGTGAGGAGATGTTGAGGTGAAAGGTGTGACAGCGACTAACGGAGGTCCTGCCTTTGTTCCCTTGAACCCCCAGCTGGATACGCTCTGGACTACACCACCAACACCGTCATGTCCTTCGCCACCGTGTTCGCCGTCATGTTCACCAGCTGCACAGGGATCATGGCTGGAGCCAATATGTCAGGTCAGAAGGTGAATGTATATTTAGCAAGGTGGATAAAAATACACTAGAACTGTGGACCTGCTTGCATGTTTTCCTAAACGCAATAACAATATATATGTAAATATATATCAAATATATACATATATGTGTATGTATTTATGTGTGTGTAGATATATGTGTATATATGTATGTACAGTATATGTATGTATGTATATATATGTGTATATATGTATGTACAGTATATGTATGTATGTATACGTATATTTATATATATATATATGTGTATATATATTTATAAATACAGATTTATAAATACAGATATATATATTTTATGTTCATCTTGCTGTCAATGTTTTCTGCAGGGGAGCTGAAGAATCCCAGTGTTTCCATCCCTAAAGGCACCATCACTGCTGTCTTGTACACCTTCATTGTCTACGTCCTCCTCTTCCTCGTGGTTAGCGCCACCTGTGACAGGTTGGAAATGACTCGCATTGTGTTGTTATAATTCCTGTATTTACATAACCCTACGTTCGAACCATCTGTGAATCAGCAGCGGTGGGCGGGGCCTCAGCACCGACCCGTCGTCAGTCTCTGAAGGTGTTTCTGTCGCTTTGCCGTTGTTTTTATTTTGTCTCAGTTTTTTGGTTTCAAACTAGTTCAAACTAGCCTCACCTTTCTGTAGGACCCTGCTGATCCAGGACTACAGCTTCTTCAAGCGGATCAACATCTGGCCTCCGTTCGTCACCATCGGCATCTTCTGTGCCTCACTGTCTGCTGCCATGTGCGCGATGATCGGAGCTTCGCGCATCCTTCACGCTCTGGCTCTGGATCACCTCTTTGGTAAAGCTTGTTTATATCTGCACCTTTAAACACTGTTTACACTGAGTCACGTCCTAAAGCAGCTGTCGTCCGAACAGGTCTTCCTTTGGCTCCGGCTACCGTCACGTCCAGCTCCGGGAACCCCTGGGTGGCGGTGCTGTACACCTGGGGTTTGGCACAGGTGAGCAGCCTCTTATATCATGACAATTTTATTTTGACACTTTATTTTATTACATTTAAATATGTTGATTATTCGCACTAAAAAAAACAAAAAAAGTGACTATTGTGGGTTTCCTGCCTCATGCAGGAGGTTGCAGGTTAAATTTCCTCCTAGTCCTCAAAGTCATGTTGATGGTTGTGACACGTGATACCAGTTTGTGATGCTAGTCTTGTTGTGCGTCAGTGTGTGGTGTTTGCAGGTCAGCTCAACGCCGTGGCAGGTCTGGTGACGGTGTTCTACCTCCTGGCCTACGCCGCCGTAGATCTGGCCTGTTTGGCTCTGGAGTGGGCGTCGGCTCCGAACTTCAGGTTTGGAAGTTCAGCTCCTCAGTTTTCCTGTTTTTCACAGAGGTGTTTATATATATTTTTTTTTTCATGGCTTCTCACAGACCCACCTTCCAGCTCTTCTCCTGGCACACCTGCCTGCTGGGGATCGTGAGCTGCTTAGTCATGATGTTCGTCATCAACCCCGTGTACTCCTCGGCCAGCATCGTCCTCCTGCTCCTGCTGCTCCTCTTCCTGCACTACAGATCTCCCACCAGCAGCTGGGGCTACATCAGCCAGGCTCTCATTTTCCACCAGGTCTCTCTCTCACACACAGACACACACACACACAGGTTTATGTGACACTGATACACATAACAAATATGTCTAGACTTAATCCTAACTCCAAACTGAATCTTCAGCCTCTCGGTCAGTGGTGAAGACACAAAAATAACATTTATTACAAGGAAAAACGTCCCCACAAGTACATCAGAACCAGAGTCACACACTCACAGCTCTGCTCCTCTGCCCCGCTGTGTGTCAGGTGAGGAAGTATCTCCTGATGCTGGACGTGAGGAAGGAGCACGTGAAGTTCTGGAGGCCGCAGGTGCTGCTGATGGTGGCCAACCCTCGCTCCTCCTGTCAGCTCATCCTCTTTGTCAACCAGCTGAAGAAGGGAGGGCTGTACGTGCTGGGCCACGTGCAGCTGGGGGATCTGGGTAATGATGTGTGTGTGTGTGTGTGTGTGTGTGTGTGGACACTCTGTGTTGGACATCTGCAGCCAGCGACATTAAATTAGTCTTATCTCAGGATCCTCACCCTCTGCTCCCTCCCTCCCTCCCCCCTCTCTCTCTCTGTGGTTTTTTCCACCTCGTTGTTTTTGCGCAAACAAAACAGAAATGTTTTTTTATATCGGTGACAGAGAAGGAAAAATAATTTAACTGTTCGGTTCAGCTGCACTTCCTCAAACGACACCATCGAAGCTTAAATGGCGGAGGACGGAAAATAAAATGACCAGCTTAAAAAAAATGCCGGGATTTGACCTGATAACCATGTTTGTCACAGGAAATGAAGTGCGATTATGTTTGTTATTTGAGTTATTACAGGATGTTGAATCCGTGATGACCTATTTTGCATACTGCCACCTGCTGTTACTGAGCAGGCATTACGGCCGGATATACATAGTTTGAATATTTAGGATAATGTGGACGAAGAAGTAATGAATGTATTTGAGCGACTGCTGCTCTTCAATATATGTAAGATATTTCCTCATCAGTCAGCGCTGCTCTGACGCTGGTCCTCCATGATTAAAAGCTCTGTGGTGAGAGTTCACTCTCCACCTGCTGCTTCTCTTCCATTATTGATGAGAGACTTTCCATCAAACAGCAGAGGGTCGAGGCCCTCGTCGACTGAACTCACTTTTACATCCAGCCGTCACTGAAACATTCAGTTCACTCTGTCGTCTAAGAACGGCTGAACATCTTCATCCTCTTCATCCTCAGAGAATGATTTAAAACACAGACAGAATTGAAGTCCTGAATTTGACCGTGTACCTATAAATTATTCTTTGAAAGTAATTCATAAATTATTTAAAGAAATATATATATATTCTCGATAAATAATGTAAGAGTTCTAGAAAGAGTTAGAATCTTGATAGAAAATATACGACATATAAAAACAAGTCTTTAATTCTGTTGAAAAATTTGTTCAAAATATAGACATTTGAATCCTATAATATTCAGACTTAAGTCAAGATTGTTGTTGCTAGATAATCTCTCTGCCCCCTGGTGTTCATTGAGTAGCACTACACTATTAGAATATTTCATCTTTTCCTCTGCAGTCTCCATGTTTTTTTTTTTCACCTGAGTTAAACCTTCTCTCTGTATTGTTCCTCGTCTTTTGTCTGTGTCCAGACGCACTCCCTTCAGACCCGGTCCAGCAGCAGTACAACTTCTGGTTAAGCCTGGTGGACAAACTGGGGGTCAAGGCCTTTGTGGATCTGACCCTGTCTCCTTCTGTCAGACAGGGAACGCAGCATCTCCTCCGTATCACAGGTTTAGGTGCGTTCTGGGTCTACACTCATCACTAACACAGTTCTTTAACCTGATTGGTTGAACTGAACTGAACTGAATCTTCTCTGTCTCTGACCCTGAAGGGGGCATGAAGCCCAACACCCTGGTCCTGGGCTTCTACGACAGCTCCACCCCCGAGGACTTCTTCCTGCAGGACTCCGCCTTCTGTGACTCCTCCGTGGGTCAGAACAGCGACGGAGAGTATAATTTTGGGGTGGACCTGCCGTCGTTACAGGCCCACTTCCCCCCCGTGCGACACGTAGAGAGCCCCCGCTGGCTCTCACCGGAGGAGTACGTGGGGATCATTTCTGACGCGGTTAAAATGAACAAGAACGTCTGCCTTGGTCGCTACTTTTTCCAGTTGGAAGGAGAAGGTAAGGACAGTAAGGTGGACGGGTCGGAGCGGACCATCGACGTGTGGCCTCTGAACCTGCTGCAGCCCGCCAGCCGAGATTATGAAGACGTGTGCAGCCTCTTCCTGCTGCAGATGGCGTGTGTTCTCAACATGTCCAGCAAGTGGCGCCATGCCAGAATGAGGATTTTCCTGAATGTGGAGACGGAGTCCAGCGACCAGGGCTGGGTGGTGAACGAGGAGACCTTCAGAGAGCTGCTGAGGCAGCTGCGGATCAGGGCGTCCATCAAAATAGTCCCCTGGGACTCTGTGGTGCAGTACACCACTCAGCAGACGGGGGCACTGTCCGAGAGCTTCCTGACGGCGGTCAACTCTATGATCATGGAGCACAGCTCCCAGGCTGCTGTCCGCTTCCTTTATTTACCCCGCCCTCCGCCTCACCACAGCCAGGCTCAGCAGTATGTGGCTCAACTGGAGGCAGTGACCAACGGATTAGGGCCGACGCTTCTGATTCACGGGGTCACTCCGGTCACGTACACTGGTCTGTGAGCGCCTGCGTCTGAGCTTCTCCGACTCCCTGCACTTTTCAGCCTCACCTCACCAACAGCTGTGCTGCAAACAGAAAAGTTTCTTCTTCCCAACACAACGTAGCATCTGAACGACGTAGGACACACGTCTGCTCGGCCCATGTGGGTTATATCCTACGTTTGGGTAACTTTAGCTGACCCACACATTTAGCCTAGTCAAACACCGTCTTTAAATCTTTCAGCCTTGTCTCTCTCTGCGGCGCCCCCCTTTGTTGATAGCACTGTTGCGCTCCACATTCACGGCACATTTAAGTGTATTTAAAGGTATATTCTGCAGTATTGTGGTCTTCGTTTCTCTCTTTTTCTTTTTCTCTCTTTGTCACCAGAGTGCTCATGGAGCCCTCCAGGGGGTGCTATCGACACGAGGGTTAGCAACATTCCTTACGCTGAGTTTACGCAAACAACATTGTTCTAAAAATCATCGCTCAGTCGAAACGAAGAATACTGACGGCAGAGCTCCCCCTGCCTGTGACGCTCTGTACTTGCTGACGGCAGAGCTCCCCCTGCCTGTGATGCTCTGTAATTGTACATATTATCCATGAAACATAAACAACTGACTGTAATTCTGATGCTTAAATTCTGACCTCAGATGAAGTTAAGTTTGCTTTGCTTACTGTTTGTTTAATATTTTTTGTTTTTTTTTACCTCAGTTTCATTACTGCCACCTACTGGCTCTGTTTCCAACCACTCATAAAAGTATGGGTAAAAGTGTAGAAAATTAAGCCCGTGTAGCACCGCTGCTAATGACCGTAGCTTAGCGCACCTTCTGTGACCCATTTGAAGTGATTGTGTTTCAACAATTCTGTGGTTTATTCTTTTAAGGAAAATTCCAGCTTACTGTGCTTTAGAAAATGCTGTGGTGGCACTCTTGGCAATAAGTAATACAAACATATAATTCGTGCCTGTTTCATTTTAACATATTGCACTGTCTTGCTAGTGTGTGGCCAAATCTGGAAAAACGTGGACTTGTTGGCAGGGATTTGAACCTTTAACCATGTTTATGATCAGGCTGTGTCACAGGACGTAAAAGTGCAGCTGCGTTTGTCTGGTTACAGGAAGTAGAAGCCATCCTCTTATGATGCCTTGTGTTTTTGCATGCTGCCGCCTACTGTTACTAAGTAGGTATTGCACACCGAAATGCAGAAGTAAAAAAAATTGTAAATATCAACAGTAATGTTTAGGATCATGTTGACAGGCGGGACCAGATGTGACCTTTGAGCTGCCAGTTTAATAGCTGTTGGTCAATGAAGGTCACGTCTTATTTTCATAAACTTGAACTGATCTGGTGAAACCCAGACATTAAATCAAAGTCGATCGATAGAAAGAGAGGGATTTCTGGATCAGACGTTTATCAGAACAAAACTACGATAACACTCTAATCGGTGAATTTATCCAGGATAGTGTGTGGATAATCAAACGGTGGGTTGCGGACCAAGTGTGGGCCCCTGGTCCTTTTTGTCTCTGTTTCTGCTTAACCAGGGTAAAATGTTGTGCCTTGTCTGAAGAAAGCAAGAAAACATCAGCATGAAGTGTCCTGTAAATGACATATAGAGCATAAACTGTCACGTACCAATCACAAACGCTGAGCTTTAGTTTTATAGGACCAATGAGATTAGATGATTAATGATTGATTGTTGTTGTTGATGGGTTTGAAACCAAAGCGTTGTCTCTGTGGAGAATGTCAGGGATGAACTTCTGTTCTGTGGTGGACCACTCTTCCGTTACCTTGTCGCCTCCTTCATTTCGACGTGTTGCTTTTTTTCCTTTTTCGCTAAATTATGTTGCAGTGTTAGCTTTCTTGTTTACTTATTTCTTGAAAAGTCTTATGTCTTCATTTTAATGTGTTTTGAAAGTGAAATTTTACATCTGACCTCTGGGGGAATCAGGAGTCCGCTGAAAGAACTTTTTTTTTTTTGTCCTGTTAAAGCAGCTCTTTATTTTAAAGGTACAGATTCTTTAGAAACCTTGGGAGCTCCTTTACAGAACATGCGACCAACTGTTGCTGCACTTTAGTTTGGTGTCTGGATGGACCTGAGTGTTGACGAGATGTTAGGGAGGAGGACCGGAAACATGTTCACCGTGGAGTAAACACTGCACAGAAGCCAAATGTACTGCATGACGGTATCTTTGTTACTGAGCTGTTTTTACTAGAATGTATTTGCTGTATTTAAATATTCGCTTACCTGTAATAGAAAGTGTATTTATAAGTTTATTAATAAATACACTATATGTGTGGAGTAAACACAAGTTTAACTGCTGAGCTTCAACAACCTCTTTAATCACTGTGACCAGAATCACCGCCCTCTAGTGGTACATGTGGACAGCGCATAAATGGAGTCACATTTTTTGTAAATTCAGCTGTTGTATAATCTCACTTAGCGCATGTTTGTGTGTGTGTGTGTGTGTGTGTCTGTACAGCTTGGCTGAAGTTTAGAGCTGGCAAAGCTACGGCCCGTGGCCCAGATACAGCCCGCTGGGATTTTTAATCCAACCTGCCACACAGTGGTACAAGGTATGGTCAAGACTGATGTCAATGCTAATGTTTCATGAACCACAATCCTCTGTAATTTCTGTTGATGCCACTAGATGGTAGTAGACATCAAACCCAAACCAAATTCTCTTTGAAAGTTTAGGTTTTACTGGACTTTTGTTTTTCTGCATCACAAACGTGATTGACCTGTATTTAATTATTAATTCAAATTTATTAATGCAGTATTTTTTTAACAGATTTTGAAACACCTTAAAAGTTTCAAGAAACCTGATGTCAAAGTAAGTTTAAAAACATTTACTCTCAATATACAGACATTTTTTAAATGACACACCTGACTGTTAATGACACAGTCTGTCAGTTAGCCTCCAGCTACACCGCTGTGTTACTGTGTAGTGAAAATAATTACATTCTAAACTGCAGAAAAGAAAAACAAGTTTCCTCCGTCATGACGACGATGAAGATGACGATGGTTATTTCTGCTTGGTGATGGACCTCTTCTTCTTAGCCAACAAGTTGTAGTTCCGCAGCCGTCTAAGGTTGAACTGCGACAGACGCAACCACTCGGGCTGCAGGATCCTCAGGGCCGTGTCCTGCGGCAGGAGCCAGGGCGGAGGGGGCAGAGGTCAACACACTGCACACTGCCGATGTTTGGGTAAGAAATTCAACTCCTCTACGATTCACTCACCATCAGAGCGTGAGCCAAACAGCCATTGGTGTAGTCGGAGTGACCCACGGTGTTCAGGGCACCGACAGCAAACTCTGGGGCACTCTTCACAAAATGGCCGACCTCCATGTGTTTTACCATGTTGGTGGAAATTAAGGAGGGGTTCACACTCTGGGAGCAAAACAACATTTTTATCAGATTTTAAACCATAAAACAAAAAATCTATTTAAGTAAATTAGGTTGAATGTTCAACTGGTTTCACGGAAACAAAAAGATCTTTGATTTGATTAAAATTATTAGGTTGAATGTTCAACTGGTTTCACAGAAACAAAAAGTTCTTTGATTTGATTAAAATTATTTTTGATTTTTCAGAACAACCACAATCTGACAAACCTGCACTAAACTGTTCCAAACAATCAAAGCAGATTTACATTAGCAGTGTCAATATTTTACAGAGGTCAAAAGAGGAATTGCAGTTAATTATATTTTATGAAGTCATTAAGTATTTGTTTAACTTTTTATGGATCTTATAAAAAGGTAAAGACGAGTCAGTGAATGCAGCGGGATGAATAACTCAGATACACGTTTGTTTAAAAAAACTATAGTATCTAATTGTTTCTGTCGAACATTTATTTATTTAAACGTTAAATTTATTAACGATTATTTGTTGTTTTCACAACAAACATGTTTTCCTCGAATATTATTCAGACTGTTGGGTATTTAAACTGTAACGGAGCAGTGTTATTTAGGTGAAGGTCAATGAAACAGCAAGGATGTTCAATGTCACGGAGAAACGCTGATACAAGATTTGGCCGCTAGAGGGCAGTGTTGCGTTGTCTTAGGCATGAATAGAATGCGGCGAGTGCTACAAAGTGACTTGTAAGTTCAGAAAGAACGAAACTTTAGGCGGAAAACGATTTAAATATCGCCTCTAAATTGTACGATAGTTATACATATTTATAAACGCACACCTTTCGGGGCGTGTTGTTCAACTAGAAGTAATATTTGTGATACTCTTGTGTGTATATTTAATTATGCTCAACCGTTTTTTTTTGGGGGGGGGGGTGTTTGTGCAGTGATACACTTGTCCGTGTTAGCCGTTAAATTCACATTTTACCTGAACAGTGATTCCCAGCGGCTGATACTCGGCGTTCAGACACCGAGAGAAGACCGTGACAAAAGTCTGAAAAGGGAACAGGACACAAATGGTGAGTCATGACAGCAGCGAAGAAGAACCAGTTCGTAAAATTGTTTGATCCGGTTGATCCGGTTTCACCTGTTGACACGGATGTGTGTGTGTTATTTTATTGACTGTTGTGCCAGAAACAGTTTTGAAGAGTTCATATTTTTCTTTACTACAACACGGCAGCGATTTTTATAAGTGATATTTCGGTGAAAATAGATAACCAAAGGAGGAGACGGCGTTCCCGCGTTAGCCCGATTGCAAAGCTGTATCTGATTGGACGAGACATCTGTCAATCATTTATGGTTTCTATACCATACTGTGAACTTGTCGTCGGTTTATCCAACTTTTTTAGCTTCTCTGCTAACTGTACAGTCACTTTGAATGTTCGTCCGCACACCGTTACATTTCATTACCTTGGAGGCAGAATAGAGTGAGAGAAAAGGGTATGGATGGTCACCACTGATGGAGGAGATGTTGATGATCAGGCCCCTCCTCCTGTAGAAGAAGAAGAAGAAGAAGACAGACATAGATAAACTCCTGCTGTGTTTTCAGAGAGATTCTGTCAAAGCTGTTCTTTCAGTACCTCTGGATCATTGCAGGAAGGACCAGTCTGCTCATCTGCATCAAGACAAAAGATGAGAAATTAAAAAAAAGTTGTTTTTATTTCGTATATAAATAATAGTATATAAACATGAGGTAATTACAGACGTGCCTCACCTGAACCACTGACAGAATGTTACAGTTGACCAGATGGGTGCTTTTCTGTTGGCAAAAAAAAAAAAAGAGGAGAAAAATTTTTAGAATTTCTAATTATAATAATTCAATAAAGGTTAAAAACAATGCATCAAACCCACCTGCTCGATATCAGGCGCTTCCATAAAGGCAGCAAACTCAGCACAGGGGAGCATCCCTACGTTGTTGACTGAGAATTAAAAAAACAACAACAACAAAAATTAATCTTTTTTCAATATTAACTTCAGAAATCATTAATGTCCAACATATGGCTATATCTTCACAATGGTATATATATTTAATCAACTGTCTATTGTTGCCACCTTCTCTCTTGACACGTTTTTATCTGTATTTGGTCTCTGCCCTCCTAGGGACCGCGCCCCCTACTTTAGGGGCCTTGAGTAACGGAGAAAAATTCTCAGCTTTCCTTCAGCCGTTTGTCTTAAACCATCTTTTTTTTTCTCCTCCTGTCTGATATGAAACAGAACTGAAGCTAACGCTTGGCTTTGCCAGAAGGACCGAAATCCACCAGCCGATGCCTCTTCCTGCCCCGTCAAGGGGCCGACTGAGTTGTTTCCCACCCATTCCCAGGCTTTGTGCTGAGCAGATAACCTGCTGCAGACTGGAGCTCAACTGAAGGAAATATCTGATTCTCTGATAAACCGACTTTCACTCTGTGAGAAACGCAGGTCATCTAACACGCTGCTCTTCTCCTACAGGTAGTTCCTTTACCCAGAATTCCAATCTCCAGGCCCTCCAGTCCAGCAGCTATGGTGGAGTAAATGCTGTGTCCTTCTGTGAAGTCCACCTGGATGGTGCAGGTGTTTCTGCCGTAGGTCTCCTCTAAAACAGATGGATATCTGACGTTAAATCATCTCTGCTCCAGAGCTACACAGAAAACCATCAGTAGTTCTTGACTCACCGATCTCTTTGGCGACGCCCTGAAGTTTATCTGCTGACCTGCTGACCAGGACCACGTCCAGACCTCTACGAGCCAGCTGCACGGCAGGAGGAGGCCACACCAGAAGGTTAGGGTTTACGTTGTAAAACAAAGTGCTTCTAATGGACCAGTGTTTGATTGACAGCTGGACTGGACCATAGAAGATAACTGTGAGCTTCAGCTGTAGCTTCAAGTCACCGTGAGTCAACAATGTCTCAAGTTAGACAAGAGTTAGCCTCACTGCTAGTCTGCCGATATATCTCCAAAAATATCAGCAAAAATTAAAAGAGGTAACTCACATGAAGCTAACACTTAGCACAAAGCTAAAAACAAGTGACTGTAGGAAACATCGCACTAATAAGAAACATTGGTATCAGTTTGAGGACGTTTGTCTTCGTGAGATTTCTTTTCTTTTCTTTTTTTCTATTCTTCCAAACCTGATGGTGTGTGGATGGACGAGGCTGCAGGTGGCGCTTACCTCCAGAGCGTAAGCTCTGCCGATGCCAGCGGTCGCTCCGGTGACGACTGAGGGAAGACGAGAACAAGGTCAGGTTTACGTTTCTATAAATAATAGTCAATAGTCGAATAAAGTACAGAATTTACGACTGATCAGATCAAGATGAAGAAAATGAGTTTTGATATACAGTATATATATATATATTTGTTTTTAGACCATTTTATTTGCGAATTAAATATATAAGGTATTTGCTTATGGTCATTTAATATTATAAATAATTAAGAACTCCTGTGGCTCGTGAGTCGTCGGTGATCACACAGGCCCCGCCCTCCTTGTCCGTAACTCGCTCGTTTTCCTCCGTGGGGAGTCTCAACACGTGGTGTGCTGCCTGGGTTCAACCACAGAGATACAGACGTAGACTTGTTTTCCTACGTGAACATTTGCCATCTGTTCCCATTCGTGGCTCGCGGCCCTACGGAGACCCGACCTGAATGAGCCGTAAGTGTTAGAGTGTATTCACTCTGTGGTCGTGGTGCAGAGAGGAAGCCTGCTGGATGTTTATGTACAAATTCAATCCAAATATTCAAATCTGTGCACCAACAGAAGAGCTGTAAAAGAAAACGTTCTGCTCCTCACCTGCCCATTTTCCATACGCCTTTAAGTCCACCTGCCAGAACTTGGAGAAAACAAACTGTCGGAGTCCCCGCCAACACTTCCAGGCCAGTGCCAGCAGGTGGTAGAGCACGACGAGCCCCCCAGTGATGGTTAACAATTCAACAACTGACATTTTCACCGTGTGACGGACGAGTGTCGGCTGCAGCGCAGGGACTGGAGGAGACTGGCTGAAAACTAATGGTGAAGATGTGTTTATATTCATTTCTTCACACAGAACCTCCCACTGCTCCACCCCTCCCTCAACTCCCTCAACTCCCTCACCCCTGTGTCATCAGTGTTTCACTTTCAAGCAAACACCAGCGAGAGTGTGTGTGTGTGTGTGTGCAAACACACACCAACTAAAACACAGGTCTGAAATACACCTATTATTTTTAAAACAAAGAAATCAAAGGAGTCAAAGACACCTTTGTATCAAAGAGTTTCCCGCAGGTGATCAGCCTCATGTTTTAAATCTCTGGTTCACGTCCCTTCTCGTGGTCACTGTCAACCTGAGACGCCTGCATCTTAAAGTTGTGCGAGAAAGTCCGACGTCTTCTCTCGTAGCATTTATCACACCTGACCCTCAGAGCAGAATCCAAGCCTGAAGAGCGTTCCAGAAACAGTGCCACCTGCAGTTCAACACTGTAGTTGCGAAGGCATCTGATTTTCTTTCTTTTTTATATTTTCTTTCTCTTTAAATTTGCAAGAAAATATATCTTTGTTACTGATTGTTTCATCTCAGGTTGGGAGTCTGTGACACTGACATTTATTCACAGACTCATCAACTGTTACCACTCAATTATAAATTAAAAAACCAACCAAAAGACTTTATGCCCCCCCCCCTGCAGTTCCGCCCAAAGACTCCCTCTGGGTTGAAGACAGGTTTAAACCATCATAAACTTGATGTAAATGAACATTGATGTTTATTTAAAAATGTTCAAATATTTGTACAACATTTTTGGCTGAACAAAACTACAACAAAGTATCTCATCAAACTAAAATGTAGCCCTCGTTGACAACTTGTTTCTTACCCAACGCAATGAAAAGTTTTTTTTATTGTTTGTTGAATTTAACTTTTTTTTATTAATTAATAAAAGGTTATGGCCAAAGTTAAACAATAAAAATATCTGAAATTAGCCAAATTATTGAGCTCAAGATAAATAGAAACATTACATTGGAAATTAGCTCAAAGATTCAGCCAAAAATGAAATTAAACAAATTAAAATAAATTAAATTATAAATTCACATAAAAATGGCTCAGAAATAGAAATAAAAATGTGGCTCAAAAAAACAGGTAAAATTACAACATTTGTCCAAATGGAAGCTTTAATGTGTTGAATCGCGATGCGTTCCTACGGTGACGTCACAGAAGCCCCTCCCTCTGACGTGTGGAACTCTACCATCTAATCACAGAAGCTACAGTGTAGATAAACACCGAAACATGGCTGTGAACATGACACAGTTTCTGTGAGAACAGACTTCGATAAAGACTCTGCTTCAGTGTGTCACGTTTTCAGTGACGGAGGAACAGACCTGACAAACTCACATCCAATCAGCGTCTGATAAAGAACGCTGCCGATTAGAGACGATACAGCCGTGATTGGCTGAGCGCTCCTTCTCCTCTCATCACTTCATTTTAAAGTCGGTGATGGGAAGAAAAAGTACCGTATCGTCCTTATCACGTCGAAGATAAGACGCGACAGTCAACGCACTGTTTATTTGTGGACGGGTCTGAACACGGCTTCACGTTCAAGGTTTCCTTCAACAGCGATGATGTCACTGATTAGGTTTCCCTCTGTCTCTACGCTGCTTTAGTTATCTGTCTTCAGTGGGAGAGTTATTACTCCTGGTGGTGTACGTAGGTACTGCAAGTGCGTGTACTTTTGCCTGTCTGTCAACACACCCAAATATATATATATATATATATATATATGTATATATGTATATATATGTATATATGTCCTACCATGTTTAGCTGAGAGCAATATACCAAGAATGTATTTCTAATAAGAATGTTAACCTGTTTTTTAGCAAAGGTTGTAAAAACCACTCCAGTCACATTCTACTTTATTTGTTTTGGTGTGTCTGGGAACTTACATAGACATCCCTCTGCATACCACTAGAGAGAGTTAAAGTGCCAGTGCTCTCAGGGTTCCGTGAAAATTATAATTTTTAAATATTTTTTTTACCCCTATATTTACCAGGAATTAGAAACGTCTTTAATTAACTACATGTATTTACATGATTAAATCATGATTGCGGCTAAATTCGTGTCAGTTTTGACAAACTTTCCACTACTTTTCATCCAATATTGTCTGTGTCTCACTTAGCTTAGCTCTTCTAACCGTAATGGATACTGTTAGCTCCTCAGCTAACGTACCTTATTTTCTAGCCCTAATCTCACATGTCATGGTAAAAAGGCTAACACGGAGCAGGTCAGAGAAGCTGGCCGACATCTTTCCTTCGCTCCGTCCTGTCCTCACACACTGACAGCAGTGTTGCTGATGTAATCAGATTAGTTCGCTGAGGCTGAGGCCGAGGCTGTGCCTGCGCTAAACTGATCCGCTGCTGCTCACAAGCCTCTTAGAGACGCAGCCAACGACGCTGGCATAGATCACAAGGTCAGACGTAGAGCAGAGAAGCTACTTAGCCCGCAGCGCTAACAGCAGAGTGTCATCGTAACAGATCTGACCAGTTATTAAGTTATTTATCGTTTGGCACAAAAAAAAAAACCCACATTAACATAAAACTGTAAAACATATCCCAACACATTTGGCCTAATATTTACCAATAGCTCATGTCGTGCTTTAGCTTTCATATATTTTTAATATTTTCATTTGTTTGTATTTGAATATTTTCCGTTAGGCGATGTCAACAAAGTGCATCATCTGTCATTCTTTCTGTATCAAATATGTAGTTTGTATATTTTGTACCGTGGGTCGGTATCAAACCACAACAATAATATTTTACTGATATAAAAATATAATAACAATAATTACTAAAATATACCAACATATATTATTTTCACAATAAAATATACATATATAGTAAGGGTTTCCTATTTTTATCTTTTGCCTGGTCTCAGTGGGAGGGTCCTTGACCTAAATCTCTAATGATGGACCAGTAGTTTTTAAAGCCTGGTTTCACCCACTGGGTCTGCCTGTACTTTCACCTTCTCCACCATCTTCTCTCCCCCCTCCTCCTCCTCCCTGTGTCCCCCACACACACAGTCTTCCCACACTAGTGTGGATTAACAGCTAAAGAGGGTTGAGAAGTCAAAGCCTGCCAGTCCTTCCCTCTGTTCCACTCCTCCACCTGGAGCCACCCTCCAGATTACTGCACAGTTTTTTCCAGCCCTTGATCCATTCTCTGGATCGAGGCCGTGCTTCTTCTCCACCACCGTTCTCCTGCCCTGTGGTTTTGGGTCATTCCCAGTCCGGAGCAGGGACAGCAGGGAGAGCCAATGGCAGGCCGGGACAGTGGAAATGAAGAAATGTCTCATTTTTTACGGAGTTAATTTCCAAAGACTAAGGATTTTTTTTTTTTTTTAGGATTACCTGTGATATTTTTTTTTCTACAGTGAAAGTTGAGGAGAAGCTTCTCCTGCTCCTGTTCACCTGTTCACTTCATCCACCTGGAGGTGGAGCCGGGTCAGAATTCTGCTCACTTTTTACTGTCATTGTGTTGGTTTAACGTATCCTGTGCTGTTGAAGAGGAGCAGAGAAGTCCAGTTAGCGTTGATCTGAACTCATTAGCAGCTGCTAAGCTGCTGTCAGTATTAACTGCCGCAGGCTGTAAAAGACACAGGTGAAACAGGAAGATCATGTTTTATTTTTTATAACTCATGTGCACTAGGGCTACATTTATTACTGTTGACTAATCTTAACGTTTAACCATGGGTCATGTGACCTCTCACTGGAAACCTAAAGGTCAGACTTCCAGTATTCAGAGCTTTTTGGCCTCAGAAAACAAACAAAAAAAACATTTGATTTGACTAGTGTTGAGTTGGTTGAATTTCATGTTTGTCAAAGTTTAATCAGTAGAACGTTGTTTTTTATGTACAACAGCAATGAAGAGAAAATGTTAAGTAATGTTGATGCAGTTGATATGATTCCAATTTTAAATTTCATTGTGAGCTGCAGGGAAAAACATTTCTTTAAACATTGAATTTGTTTTCTATTTTTCAGTTGGGTTTATTAGATTAATCATTTTAAAAAGAACACGTGAGAATTCAGTGTCTGATGAAGAGGAGGATGTTGATTACGGGAAGAAAATCAAACATCAAAAACCTGACCCAGGAAATGACACGTTTTCCTGTTTGTTTGTTTTTCAGGTCGGCCTCAGTTTGGTTCCATGTTGTCACCTCTCCAGTTCTGGACTGACGGCGTGCTGAGTGCCAAAGGAGAGCGTCCATCAACCAGACTGACCCCAGACGTGTCAGGAGCATCAGCAGCTGACTGACCGTATGGCCAATCACAGGGACTCTCACCTCCCCCACAACCTGTCCTTCCACCCGCGATGGAACCAGAACTCCTTCAAAGTCGGCAGAAGGAAAAACAAACGCTCGGTGGCGATGAACAGCTGCAGCGACTGTAGAGTGTTTCAATCGCCGTCGCCGCCGCCATCGTCCACCGTGAGGCGGTGCAGGAGCCGCAAGGGTATCTGGTTTCTTCTGCCCCTGCTTGTTGCCTCGTTTATGCCCTGCCATGCCTGGGCAACCACCTTCAAGATAGTCCTGGTGGGTCCCTGGACATGTGACCTCTTGTACTCTAAATCCTTACCCGACACCGTAGCCCGCCTGGCGACCACCCGCATCAACAAGGACCCCCACCTCAACAAAGGCTACTGGTACGATTACACCATCGTCAACGAGGACTGTAAGTCGTCCCGGGCTCTGGCTCGGTTCTCGGAGCTAAAAAGTTACGGTGCTGCCTTCCTGGGCCCCGCCAACCCGGGGTACTGCTCCTCCGCCGCTCTGTACGCAAAACAGTGGGACCTGGGCATCCTGTCCTGGGGATGTCTGAAACCAGACATGAACCAGGGGGGGGCGTACCCCACCTTCCTCAGGCCGCTGCCCCTGTCTGCTCACGTGCTCTTCACCGTGCTGCGGTTCTTCCGTTGGGCCCACGTGGCTATAGTTTCAGAGGAGACCGACGTCTGGGAAGCCACGGGGCAGGAGCTGGCCTCGTCACTGAGGGCCCTGGGTCTGCCCGTCCACCCTGTGGTCACCATGGAGAACAACGAGGACGGGCCACGCAGGGCGCTGACCAAGATACGGGAAGCAGACCGGGTCAGAGGTCAGTGGTACATCCAGAGTGATCTGTTGACCTTGTTCGTGTCAGTACTGCGTCTGATTTTCTGCTCCGTTCACAGTGATCATCATGTGCATGCCGTCTGTGCTCATCGGAGGCCAGGCTCAGCACCGGCTCCTGACCACCGCACTGACCATGAGAATGATCGACCGGGGCTACGTCTTTATTCCCTACGACACCCTCCTGTACGCCCTGCCGTACAAGGACGTAAACTACTACGCTCTGGGCAACGACACGCGGCTGAGGAAGGCGTACGACGGCGTCCTCACCGTCACCATGGACTCTGGAGAACGTAACTTCTATGAAGCCTACGCCGACGCTCAGAACAGCTATGAAATCCGCAGCAGCGTCTCAGCAGAGGAGGTGGGTTTGTCCAGTATGGGCCGAGTGGGGGGGGCGGTGGTCACATGACCACAGGGGCCAAATGTGTTTAACAGGACAATATGAGGGCTGGACTATTTTTCCTAATATCATTTAGGTCAGTGTTTCCCAAAGTAGGGGGCAGGTCACTCTAAAGGGGCGTGGAGCCAATGCAGAGGTGGGGCGGGCTGGACTATTTTTCCTAATATCATTCAGACACGGGGGTAGAAAGGCAAATTCATTTAATTTCACTATTTTCTTTATTTGTAATATAAATATAATTCCTCTAAATTTGAAACTTAATTTAATTTAATTAGCATTTTTTATGTTTAAAATTAGGAGAGAAAAGGTTTGGGAATGTTGTTGATTTATGGTCTGTTGTTGGAGGATTTGTCTTGAAACTCTTTTATTCTCTAATCATGGATTATGATAAGGGTCAAATAGTTTAAAGATTTATTAAAATCTTTAAGGAATATGAAAAAAAGAGTTAAAAGTAATCGTAAGTTTTAGTTCATAATAAAACCATTTGAATTATTTGATTAATTTCTAAATCATTACTTTTACTCCTTCAAAATCTTAGATTGAAGTTAATTTTCAAATGTATTAAAAATGATCTCAAAATATAACATATTTAATAAAATATATTTGATAATTAAAGATAGAAAACTGTAGTAAATTCATGTATTAAAAATATATAACGTCAGGCTTCTAAAATCTTCCTCCCTCCACTAGGTGTCTCCATTTTTTGGCACCATCTACAACATGATGTATTACACGGCCATGGCCGCTGAACAAGCACGTGCCCACGGAGGACGCTGGGTAACTGGGCACGTCCTGGGCGGAAGTGAGGGCGGTTTTGAATTTGAAGGTTTCAACCAGCGGCTGCGAGCCGGCAGGAACGGAGAGGGCATGCAGGCGCGCTACGTGGTTCTGGACTACAGCGGGATGGGAACGTCGCTCTACTCCACCCACTCGTTGGACGCCGCTCACACGGATTCCAAAACGGGGGGTTTGAAATACCTGGGCCGCTCCATCCACTTTGCAGGAAGTACGCCCTACAGAGACACCAGCTGCTGGTTCAGCCCGCACTTCGCCTGTGGTGGAGGTGAGTGTGGTCCAACGGTGGGACGGTGTCAGCGGGTCCTCAGTCTTTGTCTGAACTCTTCCTCCTCCCTCAGGCATGGACTCGGTCACTTACTTCTTCGTCCTGCTCCTGTTGGTCTCGCTGGTCGGTGCTGCCGTCAACGTCTACCTCCATTTTAGGTTTGTTTTTCTGATGAAGTTGAAACGTGAAAAGTCACCGTGTTGAGATGTTGGTGTTGTGTGTTTGAATCACTTTGACTTCACTGAGCAGGAGAACCGGGAGAGTCGGCTTCACCTTTGGCGGAGGTGACGACGACGGTCCGACGAAGATCGTCCTGACGCTGGACGACCTGGTCTTCATCAGCACTCAAGTCAGCAAGCGGGTCAGTCCTGGGCTGAATCTGCCGAGTCCACCTTCTCCAAGTCCATTATTTGTTGTCAATTCCCTGTGTGTGTTTGTGAGCAGAAGATCACGGACGAGAGCATCCTGAGAAGTCAGCTGGACATGAAGACGCCTCATCACTCCGTGTCCGGTCGCAGCTACATGGCCTCCAGCCCCGACAACTCCAACGTGGCTGTGTTTGAGGTGCTGTACTGACACCTGGTGTCTGTTTCCACACACGTCTGTGGAGACGTTACTGACTGTGTCCCCTGTTCACCTCTCAGGGCGACTGGGTGTGGCTGAAGAAATGTCCGGCCGGTTCTGTGTCAGGTGTGGCCAGCAGCACCGAGAACATCTTTGTCAAGGTGAGGCAAGGACAACTGAACCAGACTACAGCGCCACCCACTGGGCAGGAGTCATCCCTTCTGTGTATTTATTAACCAGGTGTCTGTAGCGGGTCTCCATTACTGCAGGGAATCGAACCCTGACTGGGGTTTGATCTGAATTTACATTTGGTTGATGATAAAAGATTTAAACTTTTTTGGTCCGTCAGCCTGATGATCTGCTCTGTTATTCTGTTAAAGTGTATATTTTAGATACGATAATCCAATCCAATCCTTCAGATTATTAGACGTGTGAGCTCCTTAAAATCCACAGATTCACCAAATTCTTTTCCCCTCGTGTTCCAGAGTGTGAACTCTGAGTCTGACACCTGCTGTTTCTTCCCCTCCAGCTCAGAAACATGAGGCACGAAAACCTCAATCTGTTCCTGGGTCTGTTCTGCGACTCGTCCATATTTGGAATAGTGACTGAACACTGCTCCAGGGGCAGCCTGGAGGATCTGCTCAACAACGAGAACGTGCGTCTGGACTGGATGTTCAAGTCGTCTCTGCTGATGGATCTGATCCGGGTGAGAAACACAGACTTCCGTCAGGCGTCTGTTTCCTGTCTGTCCTCTACTTCCTCTGAATATTTCACCCTCCGTCACCAGGGAATGAAGTATCTGCACAATCACAACATCGTCCACGGACGCCTCAAATCCCGGAACTGCGTGGTCGACGGACGCTTCGTGTTGAAGGTGACAGATTATGGATACTGTGCAATTTTGAATGGACAGGAAATCGACGTCGACGAGGACCAACCAGAGAGTGAGTGTGAACCAGTTAATGAACAGTACCTGCCGAGTACTATCAAGTATTTGACCATCTTCTGGTTTACTTCCAGACGACGCACATTTATATTTATTCTTTATTTACTTTTGGCTATTTTTTAAATAGTTTTTCACTGAGCTAACTCACTAAACCCATGTTTATTTTATTTCTTTAATCTTTGTTTCCTTTTATTTAGCTAATTATAATTACACAGTAGCTCTTTTCCACTCAGAGTTAATGGTTTCTTTGACATTTTGCAGCCACACATTAATTATACTTAACACAACAATTCTAGTATTAATACTTCACTTCTTTTAACATCTTATTTTGTCCAGTTTTGGCCAATGCTTGGGTTTGTTTTAGAGACTTTAGTTTCCTACAATTCCTGAGGGAAAACATATAAACACAGTAAAAAAAATAAAAATATATATATATATAAAGCTCTGTTTGTAAAGAAATTCTGAACACCTCCTAATGTAAATTTCTCGATCATTTATCACTTCCGTCTCCAATGGGACAAACAGATTTACTGTGGACGGCTCCTGAACTGCTGAGGAGCTCCAGTCTGAGGAGGCGGGGCTCCTTCTACGGAGATATCTACAGCTTCGCCATCATCGTGCAGGAGGTCATCACTCGCTCCTCGCCCTTCTGCATGCTGGACATGCCTCCCAAAGGTCAGTGCTGCGTCAAAGAATCATGGGAGAAAAACAGTAGTTAACTTGTAAATATAAATGAAAAATCTTTCAGGAAAGTTCTTTCCGTTTTATTTCTGTGCTGAACGTCTCTTTGCTCTGATTGACAGAAATTATCAGCAAGGTGAAAGAACCCCCTCCCCTGTGTCGGCCCACCGTGTCAGTGGAGGAGGCTCCTCTGGAGGTCATACAGGTCATGAAGCAGTGTTGGAGTGAAGAACCTGACAGGAGGCCGAACTTTGAGGACATCTTTAAACAGGTCTAGACCCTTCCCAGATCTGTCCCAGTCTCTGTCCCGGTCTCTGTCCTGGTCTTTCCTGACCTCTGTCCCAGTCTCTGTCTCTGTCTCGGTCTCTGTTTCTGTCCCAGTCTCTGTCCCGGTCTCTGTCCTGACCTCCGTGCCTTTCACCCCACAGTTCAAGAACATCACCAAGGGCAAGAAGACCAACATCATCGACTCCATGCTGCGGATGTTGGAGCAGTACTCGTCCAACCTGGAGGATCTGATCAGAGAGAGGACGGAGGAGCTGGAGCTGGAGAGACAGAAGACTGACAACTTGGTGGCTCAGATGTTGCCCAAGTGAGTGACGGCAACTTCGACTGACGCCTGATTAAAGGCACGATGACATTCAGACGTCACGAATCTGTCTCTGTGTCCGTGTGCAGCTGCTGTGGCTCAGTGGTTGCCTGAATTGCATCAATGTGACGACAGTTCCAGTAGAAACAGTGTGGGGGGGGGCTTCACCATGTGTTTGAAAACCATGTGACAGAAGCATTTAGAGACCTGGAACCAACAAACTGTCTGTGTTGACCTTCGTTTATCAGACCAAAGGTCGTCCATTCAGTGGAATTATATTATTAACTTTGTCTTTAAAAAACGTCTTCTTCTTTTTCCTCCTCCTCTTCTTCTTCCTCTTTGTCTTACTCTTCCTCTTCTTTTCTCTATCATCTTCCTCCTCCTCCTCCTCCTCCTCTTCTTCCTCCTTCGTGGTCCAGATCCGTGGCCCAGGCTCTGAAGACGGGGAAGCCCGTCATACCTGAACACTTCAGTGAGGTCACTCTTTACTTCAGTGACATCGTGGGCTTCACCACCATCTCGGCCCTGAGCGATTCTCTGTCTCGGTCTCTGTCTCTGTCCCAGTCTCTGTCCTGACCTCTGTCCTGACCTTTGTCCCAGTCTCTGTCCCGGTCTCTGTCCTGACCTCCGTGCCTTTCACCCCACAGTTCAAGAACATCACCAAGGGCAAGAAGACCAACATCATCGACTCCATGCTGCGGATGTTGGAGCAGTACTCGTCCAACCTGGAGGATCTGATCAGAGAGAGGACGGAGGAGCTGGAGCTGGAGAGACAGAAGACTGACAACTTGGTGGCTCAGATGTTGCCCAAGTGAGTGACGGCAACTTCGACTGACGCCTGATTAAAGGCACGATGACATTCAGACGTCACGAATCTGTCTCTGTGTCCGTGTGCAGCTGCTGTGGCTCAGTGGTTGCCTGAATTGCATCAATGTGACGACAGTTCCAGTAGAAACAGTGTGGGGGGGGGCTTCACCATGTGTTTGAAAACCATGTGACAGAAGCATTTAGAGACCTGGAACCAACAAACTGTCTGTGTTGACCTTCGTTTATCAGACCAAAGGTCGTCCATTCAGTGGGATTATATTATTAACTTTGTCTTTAAAAAACGTCTTCTTCTTTTTCCTCCTCCTCTTCTTCTTCCTCCTCTTCTTCCTCCTTCGTGGTCCAGATCCGTGGCTCAGGCTCTGAAGACGGGGAAGCCCGTCATACCTGAACACTTCAGTGAGGTCACTCTTTACTTCAGTGACATCGTGGGCTTCACCACCATCTCGGCCCTGAGCGATCCCATCGAGGTGGTCGACCTTCTCAACGACCTCTACACGTGCTTTGATGCCATCATTGGGCTGCACGACGTCTACAAGGTGAGAGCTGGAAGAATTTTATATCTTTTTTTTTTTCTTTTCTATCGTGAATATCTTTCAACTTCCTTCTCTTGTTTCTCAGGTGGAAACTATCGGCGATGCCTACATGGTGGCTTCAGGGGTTCCTGCCAGGAACGGCAACCGTCACGCGGCTGAGATGGCCAACATGTCCCTGGACATCCTCCACTGCATCGGGACCTTCAAGATGAGGCACATGCCGGAGCTGAAAGTCAGGATCCGCATCGGCCTGCACTCAGGTGGACGGTCCACCACAAACCACCAGTTATTACTGTTGTGTTAATAATGGTGGTGTAAGAGGGGGGGGGATGGCGCCACCTGCCTGTGTGACAGCTGTATATGTCGGGAGACAAAGCAAATAGATATTGAAGTCAGTCAAAAAGTTCTGAGACAGGTGTTTTACTTCCTGCAGGTGTCTGACGTTAAGTGACCAGTTCAGCCTGGTCTCTGCGTCTCCATCAGCTGTGACCAGTTTTACGTTAGACGTTATGATTTTAACCAAACTCGCAGCTTAGATTAGTCAAACGCTCCACGTGTGGAAGGAGACACCACATCTCAGAGTGAGTAAAAGTTCCAGGAAGCCGATCTTCCGAGGCAGTGGGCGAATATTTTTACCTCCTTTATCTGCGTCTGGTGCTTATTCCTGGAATCAGTGAAACACTATCCACTTAGAGCGTCTTCATCCAATTATCCCACTCCATACACGGGATCGCTGTCCATTCTGTGAGGCTTAAGTGTCTTGTTAAACACGGGGACGCTGCCTAACCCTTTGACACAACACACACGTTTCTCCACTGATTAAACTGTTACATTTCTTCTTCTTCTGTTTTTTTTAATTTTTTTTTTCTTCGGCTGTGATTCCAGGCCCGGTGGTGGCGGGAGTGGTGGGTTTGACGATGCCTCGCTACTGTCTGTTTGGAGACACCGTCAACACGGCGTCGAGGATGGAGTCCACAGGGTTGCGTGAGTGTCGTGTCATCGTCTGTCCAAACGTTACAGCCGTGTGTTTCATCAAACGTGATGATGCGCGGTGACGGGAGGACAAGTGGCTGGAAGTTTGTGTCGGCACGCCGCCTCGGGCTAAACAGGGCTTTAGGGCGAGCGGCCCACGCTAATCCTTTAAGGATATTAAGATGGAGGTTTGGTTTCTCCGATCACCGGGTCGTTGAATCCATAAATGTTTTAGAGATCTAAGTCAGTGGGGTTTTATTTTTCTAGAACACTCTCTGTGGTTCTTATCAAGTGTTGTAGAAGTTCTAACTCTGACTCAGCAGAACCCGGTGTTTGGACTCAGCTCAGCTGACGGTCGTTTGATTGACAGCTGGGTCAGAAGTCGTATGTGATGGTTTTAGTCGTTTCCTTCTGTGGGATTCTGACCTGATGGAGTCAGAATCAACGTCTCTGTCCTCACCTCACCTAAACCAACCCCCCCCCGCTCGCGTCATCAGGCAGTTGCCAGGCAGTCCATGTTTTAGTGATCTGACAGAGGATCTTATGGTGAGAGCCGTCAGGAGGGGGAGAGAGAGAGAGGGAGGGAAGGAGAGAGGGAGGGAGGGAGTGTTTCATCAGTTGCAGTGAAACGCTTTAATGTGACCTGTTATCACTCTGTCACCAAACCTGTTAGAAATGACTAACATTAAAAAAAAAAATCATTTAATGTGCTTCAAAAATCACTCAGATTTTACATTTAAATATAAAATCTGTAACCAGGGCTCCACTTTGTATGATTTTAGTGACATCTAGTGGTAAAGTTTGTTTATCCTCACTATCAAGGAACATACTCAGTGGTGTTTAAAACTGTAGTTTCATTCTACAATTTAAAATTAAAACATTAATATTTTCTTATATGCTTATCTTCTTTAAGATATTATATATTTATTTAAATTTTTATATAATATTTTTACTTCTTCTGTTAGTGAAGATATTTTATTCCGTATCTTTAAAAGACATACAGTACATGGAATAGAACACTGTCGAGGGAACCAACTATGGGCACTCTGCTGCCATCTACTGGCTAACACCATTAATAACATCCTGACATGGAATCGATTAAAATCGTAAGAAGTCGGTTTTTTAATATATATTAAAACAACCAAAAAATAAAAAAAACGAGAAAATTAGTTCTTACTTTACATAAAATTTCTTTTATATTTTCTGTTATATATTAAATATATATATTTATTTTTTAAATATTTCTATCTTGGTATATAGCTTACAGAATCCATGTCAACCAAAGCACAGTTGACGTCCTGAACAGCTTGAAACTGGGATATAAACTCCAGGTCAGAGGCATGACGGAGTTAAAGGTGAGTACGCGTTTTTCACAAGAACAACTTTTCTGTAACGAGTAACGAGTTCTTGACTGTTTCCTTCCAGGGTAAAGGGATTGAGACCACCTACTGGTTGGTGGGAAGAGAAGGCTTTAACAAACCCCTCCCTGCCCCTCTAGGCAACGCAGGGTAAGACCCCCCCTCCCATTGATGTACTGGTCATGTACTGTATATGTTGTAGTACTTGTATGGTATTCATTCAGCCGTGTTTTCATCACAGGGGCAGTAACCATGGTATCAGCTTAGATGAGATCCCTGTTGACAGAAGACAGAAATTCCTGGATCGACAGAAGATGATGGGATAGAGTGACCTTTGACACTGGAACTTCCTGACTGAGGAATCATGTACTGTATGTCCCAAAGACTGGGTGGGGTCCCACAGACAATTCACTGGGTGATTATTCAGGTTGCAGCGACATAAAAAAAAAATCGTTAAATATTGCAGTACTGATGAAGTGCAGGTTCAAATGGAGAGAGTGTTAATGTAAAATTACTGCTAGACGTACTGCAAACACCTCCACTGGTACTGTTTACTGATGTTAGAGAAATACATCATCAAATATATTTGACCTCTAACAGCAATATTTGAATTTTTAAACAAACCTGAAAATACATTTGGCCCAAATCGCTGTAAAGACTGAGACTGTGGATTATTTATAGACTCCTGTCTGAGACGACGTCGGTCACATGATCAGTAGGAAGTACTACAGTACTGTGTGTTATGTTAAGCCTGCTTGTTTTTTTTTGTACTGCATGTACTTTTACATGTATTTATTTGTGGACCATCGGTAAATGCTGAACTTTAACTATAGTTATATATATATATATATTAGAGTATTTTGTCAATAACAGATCGTTAAAAACATGAAATAGTCGCAGTAATATTCAGAGTAAATGAAGGCGGGGAAAAGTCTTTGTATTTTTTTTTTTTACAAAAACACAGCGTGTTAAACAACATTCACTCCTTTTCGTCTGCTGATCATTACGGCCTCACCCGTCTCACCCGTCTCACATGCAGCGACTGATTAATGAAACCTGCCGCCTGCGCGTTAGCATGCGCCGCACAGCGTGATGTGTGTGTTGTTCACAATGAAAACAGTAGGAGGAGCTCATTTCTATGACAAATCTGTCTGCCCCGCACCTAACACCCCGGGGGCATTCTCCTCCGATCGAGTGCTCCAGACAATTAGCTTCTGATTGGTCCTTCACCGATGTCGAAGTCTACAACTAGGTGGCGCACGAGTTCATTAGAATCAGTCCGTAACAGATAACTTTGTCAGAACAATGAAGTGAAACGCAGGTTTTGCTTTGTCAGAACAATGAAGTGAAACGCACGTCGTCTTTACAGAAAAAAAAAACATTCATTATGTAAAGATGATCAGAGGTGAGCGCTGGTTGGAACAAAGACATTTGGTTTGTTTTTTTTTACCCTGAGGCTGTTTGCTGTATATACTGTACATTTGTATATAGTAGTTATTGACATCTTTCTGTTCAGGATCCATGAACTTTAGATTCAAACAACAACAACGTTTACTTGATGTCCGTCGTCTGGTGCAGGGATGGTTACGGATGAATAGTGTTAAACATGGAGGTCAAAATGGGTAAAAACACAGTCCATAAACGTTTTCTTTAACTAGCCAGTCCAGCTCATTCAGAGGAACGCAGTAAATAAAGTCATGTGACAGGCGTGTAGTAGTACTACAGTAGTGGTATAATTGATTAAATTTTCGGAGTACTTTCTTTTTTTAAATGATCAATTTACATCTGTAGCTACTGTGGGTTATATTAGGAGAAAATAATCATTTAAATAATTTCTTACTAACATTTAGCTGTTTTTATATAAATATATTTGTACGCCAACAGTTAGTATTTATTTATTTATTTTTGCCAATTCTTGTTTGACTTCAATGTTTACTTTAATCAGTTTCTAATCACCATCGGTCTTGGGGGGAAATATTTGCAAAAAAAAAACCTGGGCGAATATTTGACCCTTTCTGTGATATGGCGCCCTCTGTTGTAACATCAATGTAAATACATGAAAACAGACAAAGCATTTGACTTGACAAATAAAAATAAGGAAATTATGTTCTGTTTTCAGAAATACTGAGAATTTAGAATTTTCATTAAAGTCACCCCCCCCCCGTTCTCCCCTCCTCCCACATTTACCTCTGATTCATACAGACCTACTTTAGTCTGTGACCTTCATCCATCTGTATATATACAGTCCACAGGTAGGAGCCACATCTTCTCGGCTTTTAATCGATTTGCCAAATAGAAAGAAAAAACCTCCGAAGCGAATGGAATTCCCTGCGTGATTTCATTGTGTTGCTGTGAATAAACGCTGGTTTGAAAACGTTTGGCTGAACAAACTCTGACTCATGGGTCGGTGCAGGTGAAGCCCCACCGTCTCCATCTCACCTGTGTCACCCGTGTCAGCCATCGCTCCAGGTAAATGACGTCACATGACTTTGTTTATCTCAGAACTGGACGTCACTTCTAATTCTTTTTGTTTTATCAACAGGTCGGCTGAGTTGGACACCACAGTCTCTGACCTCTTGATTGGTCCACGACCCGCACTTTGTTCAGCACCACATCTGACCCAAAGTTGCTGCTAATGACTGAGTGAGGATGTGTCTCGATCCGATTCACAGAACCGAGGTGAAACGGAGGGTTCGATTCCGAGGTCGGTCGTCTGGTAAGTTTTTACAGAATGAAATAAGACACTGTACAATTTTATTACAGAAGAGAAATTTAAAATAGAATTTTTTTTTTTTATTTTTTAAAAACCCCAAACTTCTCTGTGAACATCATTTTTATCCTCGTCTTCCCGGTGAACCTGCTGCAGCCGCCGCTCCTCCATTCACGTTCATCTGTGACTGTAAAATATGCAAATGTGCGGTGAATGTCTGCATCACACTCGAACTCACCACCACCACCCAAAAAAAAACCAAAAAAAAAACACCACACACACAGAGGCGTGTGCAGCTGCAGAAGCCGTGACCTCTCAGACTGCAGCGTTTCTTCATGTCTCTGTGCAGAAATCCTCCGGATTCACCGGTGATTCCTGACAAATCTGTGGGATTATTCCCAGAATCCTCGGTGACGGAAGTGTCCTCGTCTGAACACCGTGTTCTTCTTCTCTCCATCTCTGCCGGAGCCCCGCTGGTCCGCGCGGGGGGGGGGTGGGGGGGGGGGGGGGGTTGGAGATCAAGTCACCCATTCAGAGGCACGAGGAAATGAGAAACAAAGTCTGGCTTTCAGAATAAAAGCACAAGTGACGAGCTTGTCCTCAGCCAACCTGCCCAAAATGTTTATATATAATATATCATAGTTAGAATTTTATTTTAAAATCCCTTTTGGTTTCTTTTATTTTTTTTGCAGCTCTCATGTTTAGTTTTCTTCATATTTATTTATTATTTATTGGACAGAAATGTTTAGCAGTAAACATTGTTTAATGTTCGTCAAATATAAGTTGATCTTGTGGTCTGTAGACTGAAACCACAATTTTGACCACAGGTCGTCACAACAACAACAACAAAAAAAAGTTCAATACAAAATATTTTAAAACATTGTAGTAAGAATATAATATAAGAGACTAAAAATCGTCACCTTCGTTTTTTCACGTCAACCAGCAGCGGTCGCTAGTTTGAATCCTGTGACTGTGATCCACGGCCGCTGTTCACAGACCAAGTCCAAGGTCAGTGCTGCCGCCACCGTCTGCAGCCCGAGTTTTATTTTGAAATCCACCAACGGAAACGCCGCCAGTGTGGCTCGTGTTTTGACTGTGGTGGGTTCAGAGTGACGGTGTTGAACCTCAGACAGGTGGAGGAGACGTCCTGAAGAAACACCGCGGTCGGACCTGGTCGTGCAGGAGGACTGGGCTGGGCTGCAGGAGCAGCAGCGGTGGACAGCGTCCTCCTTCTCCTCCTCGTCCTCCTCCTCCTCGTCCTCGTCCTCCTTCATCTCCTTCTCCTTCTTCCCGCAGATGCTGGATTCACAGTATGAAGACACCAGGTCCAAACTGTGGTTCTGCTGCCGATTGTGCCGTCCTCGCGCCTGACGCGTGAATGTGGACGCGGGCGGGACGAAGGATGTAGAGGCCACGGACGACCGAAGAGTCCACATGCTTTTGTTTCTTTGACATTACCGACTCATAATTCACGAAAACAAGAGCGCACCGCCGCGGCCATGGAGAGCCACGCAGCCGAGGCGCAGAGCTACGAAGATGTGCAGAAGAGCGGCTACCTCCGCAAGCACAAATCCATGCACCGGCGCTTCTTCGTGCTGCGGGCGGCCTCGGAGCACGGTCCGGCTCGGCTGGAGTACTACGAGAACGAGAAGAAATTCCGCAGCAAATCGCCGGTGCCGAAGAAAGTGCTGAACCTGGAGACGTGCTTCAACATCAACAAGCGGGCGGACTCCAAGAACAAGCACATGATCGTGCTGTACACCCGCAGCGAGAGCTTCGCCGTGGCCGCGGACTGCGAGCAGGTGCAGAACGAGTGGTACCAGGCGATGCTGGAGCTGCAGTGCAACTGTAAGATACTAAAAAAAAAATTTTTTATCTCTAACTACCCCACCTGTGATGTTCTGCCCCTGTCTTCTGTCTTCTGTCTGTGCACACATGACGGCCTAAATCTGCACCACCGGAGGCTGTTTGTTCCCCACTCTCTGCTGGCGCGGCCGCCTCTGCTGCTTGTCTCATTATTTCATATGTGTTTTATTATTATTATTTTTAATATTTGTATATTTTTATATTTCAGTGCTGAGTCTCAGTGACGCGTTTCCAACCGTAGACTTTTTCGGGTTTTTTTGCACCAAAAAAAAA